CCTGACCTCCACCAGAAAGTGACCTAAACCGTACCTGATGGTCTTATAACCAACACCATTGAGTTGGAAATGAAAAACTGGCCATAAAACATGCATCGCATAACCTTAGTAAAGTTGGGTTCATGTGGTGACCCTTGGTGACCTTTGGTGACCTGACCTGTGACCTGACCTGGTATGACCAGTGACCTCTAACAGCAACATATCTACTAGGCAACTGACGCCCTATCGCTGATTCCCGACAAAATGCGTTTTCCTCGGTGTTATAGCGCATTCCCTAGAAGACCCGTGAACGGTGAAACATTTCATCTTTGACCTGACCTGTGACGTCATCGGTGACCCCGAGGTCAATAAAATTTGGTTTCCCTCGACAAATTTGACAGGCCTTTCGAACGCCGTTTGAATTTTTCGGATCCGTCCAGTAGTTTCGGAGATACGAGGGGGGCAAAAAATAGCCCCCCCCCCCCACCAGGTCGCGTTATAAACAGACCCCACCAGGGCGCGGGATGTTCAGGGGCCTCCTAATTATCCAGGGTTTTTTATTCTACCAGGGGTCTCTTATTTGTGCAGGGGCCTCCTATTTGCCCGGGGGTCTCCTACTTGTCCAGGGGCCTCCTTTTTTGAAGGGCGTCCTTTTTGTTAAGGGAGCCTTCTATTTGTCCAGGGGGCCTCCTATTCGTACAGAGGACCTCTAGCTCCTACTTGTCCATGGGGCCTCCTACAGGGTGTTTCACTAAAAATGTCAAAAAGTAAAAGGTCATAATGCACATAATAACAATGTTTTCTAAGGAAATTTGCATATCATTTCATCCGCAATTGTTGGACATTTGAATATATAAAAACGATATCACCGTCACTCAAACCTATTCCACACATCTGCCCCTTCTTTTGATGCACCGTTTCGGCACGTGTCCGGAGGTGCCTCACAGCCCGTTTTCATCTTCAGCGTCCAGACTGTCGGCAAAGCCTTGAATTGTGCTCTTCAGCTCCCGAAGTGATGCGACTTGAGTCTTCCTCAGCTCTGCGAGAGCTACTGAGTCACTGACCAAACCAGAGGCTTAGCGGTGACAGATCGGGGCTTCGCGCTGGCCAGGGGCGGGCGGCAAGGCAGCTGATTATTCGGCCCAGGAGCTTCTGGTCCAGTCAGTTCCTGGTGGCTACAGCCGTTACAGTGGTTGATTTTAATAACTTGTAAGGCCCTGGCTATTTCTGATGTTGGAATTAGCTTCTTGTTATCTTCAAAGGCCCTCAAAAAGACCCTGACCTTCTCAACGGTTTTCGCCGAGAGGTGGGGGCAACCCCGCCTTTTTTGGACTGGAACCGGCATCGAAGGAACCCTTTTAAACCTCTCAACAAGCCCTTTGAAACTTTTATAATCTGGAACGTAGCGAGGTGAGAGAGTAAAAAGTTTCCTGAAAAGTCGGCATACGGTTTCAATGTTTCTGATGGCACCAAATGTACATAAGTGTAATTCATCCCTCCTGTTGCGGTGTAAATAACCTGTTCTTGTTCTGCATAAGGAAAAAATGACTAGTAACTTTGGCCTACTGCCCTCGCTCCGTATGAGTGTAAAATATATCTTAAATGGATAAATAATAAATGTCCAAAAATTTGCAACAAAGCCACGTGCGCAGACACGTGATTTGCATATTCTATATATCTTTAATAGGCATTTACTTTTTGACACTTTTAGTGAAACACCCTGTATTTGCTCAAGAGGCCCCCTATTAGTACAGGGGCCTCCTATTTGTTCAGGGGGCCTCCTATTTATCCAAGGGGCCTGCTATTTTTCTAGGGGCCTCCTATTTGCCCAAGAGGCCTCCTATTTGTCCAGCGGGCCTCCTTCTTATTCAGGGGCCTCCTTTTTTTCCATGTGACCTCCTATTGGTTAAAGTAGCCTCCTATTTTCCAAGCGGCCTCCTATTTATCCAGAGGGCTCCTATTTTAGGGGGCTTCCTCTTTATCCAGGGGGCCTCCTATTTATCCAGGGTCCTTCTATTCATAAAGGGGGCCTCCTATTTGTCCAGGGGGTCTCCTAATTGTCCAAGGGGTCTCCTTTTGTGAAAGGGGCCTCCTATTTGTCCAGGGGGCTCATAATTGTCCAGGGGGCCTCCTTTTGTGAAAGGGGCCTCCTTTTGTGAAAGGGGCCTCCGGTTTGTCTAGTTCTAGGGCCTCCTGTTTGTTCATAGGGCCTCCTATTTTTTCCCAGGGGGCCTCCTAGTTGCAGAGGGCCTCCTACTTGCCCATGGGGCCTCCTATTTGTTCAGGGGGCTTTTAGTTTGTACAGAGGGCCTCCTATTTGTCTAGGGCCTCCTATTTGTTCAGGAGGCCTCCTGCTTGTCCAGAGAGCCTCCCTATTTCTCCAGGGGGCCTCCTATTTATCCAGGGGGCCTCCTGTTTTCCGGGGGGCCTCCTACTTGTTCAGGGGGCCTCCTATTTGTCCAGGGGGCCTCCCATTTGTCCAACAGGGCCTCCGATTTGTCCAAAAGACCTCCTTTTTATACAGAAAACCTTCCATATGAACATCGGACCTCCATTTGTAAAGTAGCTGGTGCGTCTCGGGGGCCTCCACTATTGGGGTCCCAAAATGCCAATTGGGGTCCCAAATGTTCGCATTGGGGTCCCACATGGGACCTCAAAAGTATACAAAGTTACACCCATGACTGTAGGTAGCTCTGGCACGGTGACAAAGTTGCAAAAAAGTGACTTGAGGTTGGTTCGTTCAAAGCGACCTGGTGACCTGACCTTAAACGTTAGGAGGTTCAAACTTGCACACCACATGTGTAAAAGTGATTAGAGAATAGTGGTATCAAATTTTGCGGCGCTACGCGTCGCGGTTTTCCCGCTATTTGCGAAAAACCTCAGGGGGCGGATACCCGCCCCCCGTCGGTGCGCGTGTTAAAGGGACTATCCCACCTTCTAAAATGTTGTTAAAACCAGTTAAATTGTGCCCGACTTTATAGATTGGATGACCAGGAACACGGTTCTGGCATTTATTTTTCATTAAACATCTTAGGCTTCCCATATTCCAAACACAAACTTTCAAATATGTGACGTCACAGCCCAAAATCACCTCCTTCCCCAGGCCACATTACTGTCATAAAGCTGATTCTTTTTACTCTGTAGGCACCACAACAAAGTTCAGACCAAGTTTTAAGCGATTTTTCAACGAACAAACCCATTTAAATCAGAATGACTAAACGAGGTGACGTCACACTAACGGTCGCTCCATGTTGAAGATAGGGCCTTGTACAAGGCCCATTTTCAAATGAAGGGAACGAATTTCTTCAACACCAAGAGGCCGCGGGGGTTGCAACCTAGATAGATAGTGGTTTCTGAACCTCGCCGCAAACTTGGCTATCTCAACTCAAACCCCATGTTAAAGGTGGGATAGTCCCTTTAACTTGACCTGGTGACCGGACCTGACATGGCCTGGGGTCAAAAATTTCACACATTGTCCAAAATTTATGTACAAAAGCGTAGCGCCAGCGCCGCGGTTTTTTATTCACACGCGAAAAACGCGACAGGGTGGTAACATATGCCCCCCCCGCCCCACTGGGGCGAAGGTTCACACCTCTTCTACTTTTTGCACTTTGCACGTGCAGCGGGGCTCATTCACGTGCACCAAGGGTATCCAACGTTTGTTAGAAGGGATACAGTTACTCCACAAAAGTTACCGCAAATCAATCGCCCCAGTGGTTACTGAGATATAGGCATCTCAAAATTGTTAGGGGAGAGCGGGGAGAGTTGTATCATGTCCAAGTTGTATCAGGGCGAATTGTGCCAAACTTATCCAATAGATAGCGCTCGTGACACGACCAGCCGACGAGGTTTTCCGGGCGCCATCTTTCCCTGTTCTGTCGTGTGGCTGGGTGTACGCGTCTCGAGGTGAGAGCCGATTTTATGTTTTTTTAATGTCATTCTAAAAAAAAATGAGTTGCAAGAAAATGTGTGTTTTGGGCATTTAGATATGCCCGAATTTAAAAGATCTCCGTAGCGGTGGTGAGGGTAGGTTCTAAGGCTGCGTGAGCGAAAATGGATTTCTCCAGCTGTCCGCTGTTTTTGAGCACGAGGATGTTTTTTTCCAAGATGGTGGCGAGGTACATGTTGTGTCAGAGCCGGGTGGGGTATGTTGTAACATGTATGTATGTATGGGCATGTTGCTTTTGATCGCGAAAGCTAAGCCCTGTCTCGCGTTTGTAGGTAGCTAGTCAATACTCGTTCCATTTCGGCACAATGTGTTAGCTTCTTTGCTCTTAACGGGCCACTTTTGCATCTAGTCTGTTGATGTTTCGTTCGTTTCGATGTTTCGTTCGGATTGCATTGACCTAAGTTTGGTCTGATAAAAGTGAAGCCTTTGAGCATATACATTGTATTAGCCCCATTTAATGTTGTTGTTATGTTCAAAACCAGTAGCAAGCACACTCCCTGAAACGTGAAATACCTAGTGATACAAATTACCCCACCATGTGATACAACTCACCCAAGCCATGGGGCAAGTTGTATCAAAAACATTGTTCTATTCGGCAGACCGTAGAAGAAAAACTGGTAGAGGTAGCGGAAAAGTTACTTTGCACAAAAAAGCAGAAGAATCAAGGAAGGAGATAGTATGGAAATAATGAGTTTATCACGGATAGTTACGAGGTAATGGGTCTCGGAGTAAAAACTGATACAACCCACCCCACTCTCCCCTACTTCAACAGAACGACTTGAACACCCCGACTCTTCACGTGCCACGTGCCACGACGGTCACCTGAATGCATCATGAGCAGTGAATTACGGGGCAGAAAGGATGGGGCTACCAACAAAGAAGACCGCAGGCCAATCGGCCCAGCGGTTGCTGAGACATCAGTCTCAAAATGCTGATTGCAAATCCGTCAGAAAAAAATAAAAGGCCAAAGTGGCCTCTTATTTTTCGCGCCAAAAACGAGTGTCCAATCCAGGTAGTTAATGTTATCTATGCTAAAGCGAATCCCAAACGGCGGCGCCGGTCGTGGTCTTACCTTGTGAATCGGTCTTGTCCTCGGCCAGGTAATATTGCAGCAGCTGCCACCGGTCTGGCCACCGGCTGACGGCAGCGTCATAGGCTGCGCGCAGCCGGTCACCGGACAGCAGCTGCTGCGTCCGCCGGCGCCAGAGGCCGGCCGTGGCGACCACCGTCGGGCCGTCCATCTCTGGTAGATTGACACGGATGCTGTGCTGCAGGTCACGGCCGAGGTCACGCTCTAACTCCTCCCGGCACCACTGATAGGTGTTCAGTGGTCGGAAATTTACCGCCCACCTCTTACACACCCTCCAGTCCAACTCTCGCTGCCAGGATATCTCGCGCGGCGCGCCCTCACTGATGGCCCGCGTCAGCAGCCCCGGCCGCAGCAGCAGCTCGGCCCGGCCCCGCGGTGTGTCCAGCTCGGCGGTCAGGCCGGCCGGCCGCTCCGCCAGCGGCCGATGCAGCTGCCGACCCCACCAGGTGGTCACCCCGCGAGGGTCACCCAGCAGGAGCTCCAAGTCGGACTCGGTGAGGAGCCGGGTGAGCGGCGTCACGTCGACAGTGATAGTGTTACCGACCTGTGGCGTCATCGGCTCGCTGTCCGCAAGGTCCGCTGGGTCGACCACGCTCCACGCCATGAGCAGGTAACACTGCTGCTGGTGTGGAGCCGACATCTGGTGGTGGAGCCACTGGAGCAGGTAAGGGGCCGCGCGGGCCAGGCGGGGGATGGACCAACTCCACCAGAACTGCCAGCAGGGAGCCTTGGGGCGGTACCTGATGCCGAACGACACAGCGAGCCGGATTAACATCCGTGCCAGATGGAGCCGCAGCTGGCGCTCAGACAGCGGCTCCGTCCCGTCCTCCAGCAATGCGCTCAGGTTAAATAGCTTCTCGCAGCAGGCCATCATGAGGAGTGTTGAGTGCTCCCTCACCAGTCGGAGGGAGCCGATGATGGCCTGCCGCTGCTCCGCGGTCAGTTCTGCCGCCACATCGATGTCGGGATAGAAGAAGCAGGGTAGCCATCCTTCGGCGAGGCGCCGCTCCAGCCAGTCCAGGAGCCGGTGGACGCCGTCCGTGACGCCTGTCCACGGTCCACCGTGCGGCTCCTGGGCCAGCCAGAGCGCCGCCGTCTTGATGAAGTACGACTTCAACCCGACGATGGCTAACCCGCTCTCCTTCAGCACGTTTTTCACGGTCTTGAGTGTTTTTACCGCAGCTCGCAGCACGTGCGGGAGCTGACGGACGGCGAGCAGCTCCGCCCGCGACAGCGAGATGCGATATTCTATGTTTTTAGTTTCGCTGTCCCACCGGCCGGTCGGCACCAGGTGCACCCCGAACCGGGGAATCTCGTCCCGCGCCGCCGCCGACGGGAAGTTGGTCTCCCGGGGGGCGCCGGCGGGCCAGTTTGGCTCGGGCCACCACCCACGCACAAACAGGCAGAAGACTAAGTCCACTCCCCCGTCTTTGCGAGCTGATCCTTTGACGTTGATTGCCGGGCCGGTGGAGGTGACCTCATCAGGGTAACCGGCCCGGCAGTAGTCTTCCATGAGCCGACGAACGAAGTCGCCCGGCAGCGCCTCCAGCGGCTCCTCATGGCCGCACCGGTCCGTCCGCACCCAGTGCAGCGTCACAAAGCCGGCGTTGCTGGTAGGCCGGCCCCACAGCTGTGGCGCAGACTGCGGATCGATGTCGGCCGGCTCCACCCTCGGTGTCGTCCAGCGGAAGGGGCCGTCGAACTCCAACATCATGTCAAAGTCTGACGTGCCCCCATCACCGATGATAAAGTCCTCCAACCCCTCAGCGTTACTCCCCGACGCGTTCCAGGAAACCAGCTGGAGCGGCTGACGGGGCTGGCAGTGACGACACCGGACGGTGGCGGCGGCCGCCCTGGTCTCCGTCAACGCCGACAACAGCGGCCTTTTCACCAGACTCCGGACGGCGCTTTCGACCTCCAGAGCGGTATTGTAGGCCTGTCGCACGAGGCCGGGGTTTCCCTTCATATCATGCGCCTCCAGCATAGTGTCGGCGACCAGATGTGCCGCCGACCCGCACCTCGCCACCAGCCGACCCGCATCTCGGTTCAGCTTCTTGTGCACACGCCTCCAATTCTGCTGCATCCTGCGAAAACGAATGGCGTCGAAGATGTTAGACATGTCTACGAGTATTTAGTTGAAATAGTAAGTCACTCGCAAAACACGCACAATACCACTGGCTGTCACAAACGGACTGGCCGGGTGCGGCCGGCACCGCTGCTGATATGCCACCAGAGCCGACGGCCGCCGGCAGCGACAGACGCGCGCAGAGGCGGATCCAGCCGGTCCGTTTGGGGATGGCAAAAGTTTCTGACCCATTCAGCGACCCCAACCAACCGCCACACCGGTGACCAAGCGACTTAACAACGCCACACTACATCTACATGCATTCACTTCAGGGAGTTTCATCTACTATCAGCATACCGACCAAAATCATCAGCGACGATCGGTCAACTCCAAGGTTATGTAAACCAGGTAGAACGCTCCTGACGAAAAAGCGGGGAACAAAATGAATTTAGCACCGAACCGGACTGCTAATCGGAGCCCAATGTCCAGAGCCTCAAGCCCAAACTGCTGGAGCTGTCGGACAAACTCAGCCGCCAAGATCTCGACGTTATGCTCCTGTCCGAAACTTGGCTTCGACCGAGCACACCAAATCGCCTTCTGGTCATCTCCGGCTACTCCATCAGCCGGGTAGACCGACCCGACGGCCGGGGCTACGGCGGTGTCGCCATCATCACCAAAGCTAACAGTACGCCTGTAGCGCTGAAGCCACCAGGCTCGCAGTGCCCTGACAGTCAACTAGAATCGCAGTGGGCGTTGCTAAAATTACAAAAAAAAAAAAAACGCAATCTGATTGTATGCTCGGTGTACCGACCGCCGCGTTATTCCGCGACCGCACTGCGTGCAGATTTTACAGACCTCGAAACCCAAATTCAGCGCGTCCTAATCGACCTCCCAAATGTCCCGTTTGTCATATGCGGCGATCTGAATTGTGACTTGTTAAAGAGCGCTAGCTCTCCCGCTCGTCAACACGTTAGCGAGTTCCTTTCTGACTACTCCCTGGATCAACTCGTAACAACATCAACTTTCGCATCCGGTTCTCTCTTGGACGTGTGTATTGTAAAAAATCGAAAATTTGTGCGTTCTTGTAGCGTAGCCCATTGCCATTTCAGTCCACACAAATTCGTCTATGTGACCGTTGACGTGCCTAAGCAGCGCCTAAAACCATCTATCATCCAATCTAGATCTTTTAAACGATTGGACGCTCACTCTATCAACATAGAGCTGTTGACTGTCGATTGGCAGGAAGTGTATAACTCGACGTCGGTTGGCGACAAGTGGCAGGCCTTTTTAGATAACTTCCTACCTGTCTTCGACGACCACGCCCCCTCAAAAATGTGTTGATAAGAAACCCTACCGCGCCCCCTGTATCTGCCGCTACCCGCCAGATTATGTCCCGGTGTCGCTCCGCGTTACGCCGGCTAGGCCGCGAGTCTCCCGAGTATAAGACGCTTAAAGGGACTATCCCACCTTTAACCCGCGCACCGACGGGGGGGGGGCGGATATCCGCCCCCCCTGAGGTTTTTCGCGGATAGCGGGAAAACTGCGGCGCGTAGCACCGCGAAATTTGGTATGACTATTCTCTCATCAATTTTACACATGGTGTGCAAGTTTGAACCTCCTAACTTTTAAGGTCAGGTCACCAGATCACTTTGAATGACCCAACCTCAAGTCACTTTTTTGCAACTTTGTCACCGTGCCAGAGCTACAGTAGATGTCGGAGGCCTTTGAAAGTCGCAGGATGTTATTAGGTCATTAGTAGCTACAATTTGCATATCTCGGAATTTTGATGTCGGTGACCTAAGGTCAGGTCAATTTCGCGACCTCCCCATTATAAGTCAATGGGGGAAAAATCAACTCCCTGTTTTTACCACTAAAACGGGTCGGAATGGCCCCATATACCATACATGACTTCACATACGATCAACCTTCACTACCTTGAGGTCTGTTTTGCTGTTGGGCAGCTGTAAGGTCATGTGACGTCATCAAAGGTCACCAAAGGTTTTTTGCCAATAACTCCGTACAGGAACAAGATACAGCCGCGCGGATGGTCTCATTGTGTTCAGCTCGTCAAGACGCATCGAATGATATACATGATGACCTCGAGGTCACGTGACCTGAGGTCAACCTTTGACCTTGACCTTTCGAGGTCAACATATATATCATTCGATGCGGATTGACGAGAGGATCACGATGATGCCCTTAGTTTGTTCCTATCTTGACTACTTCGAAAGTTATTCGAGAAAACCCTCTCCATATCTAGCGCCGCCATTTTGACTTTTTCGACCCCTGTGACGTCATCTTTGACCTGAACTGAAAATGACCTTTGTAAAAATTGTAGACCTTGTCCGTGCGTATCCGATGCCGTTTACCGCTTGTCGCTATCTTGCTTCGTTCTCGAGATCTCAGGGGGGGCGGTCATCCGCCCCCCCCCCCCGTCGGTACTAAGTTGGCGCAGACCCCCGTCGGTGCGCGGGTTAACATGGGGTTTGAGTTGAGATAGCCAAGTTTGCGGCGAGGTTCAGAAACCACTATCTATCTAGGTTGCAACCCCCGCGGCCTCTTGGTGTTGAAGAAATTCGTTCCCTTCATTTGAAAATGGGCCTTGCGCAAGGCCCTACCTTCAACATGGAGCGACCGTTAGTGTGACGTCACCTCGTTTAGTCATTCTGATTTAAATGGGTTTGTTCGTTGCAAAATCGCTTAAAACTTGGTCTGAACTTTGTTGTGGTGCCTACAGAGTAAAAAGAATCAGCTTTATGACAGTAATGTGCCCTGGGGAAGGAGGTAATTTTGGGCTGTGACGTCACATATTTGAAAGTTTGTGTTTGGAATATGGGAAGCCTAAGATGTTTAACCCGCGCACCGACGGGGGTCTGCGCCAACTTAGTACCGACGGGGGGGGGGCGGATGACCGCCCCCCCCCCTGAGATCTCGAGAACGAAGCAAGATAGCGACAAGCGGTAAACGGCATCGGATACGCACGGACAAGGTCTACAATTTTTACAAAGGTCATTTTCAGGTCAGGTCAAAGATGACGTCACAGGGGTCGAAAAAGTCAAAATGGCGGCGCTAGATATGGAGAGGGTTTTTCTCGAATAACTTTCGGAGTAGTCAAGATAGGAACAAACTAAGGGCATCATCGTGATCCTCTCGTCGATCCGCATCGAATGATATATATGTTGACCTCGAAAGATCAAGGTCAAAGGTTGACCTCAGGTCACGTGACCTCGAGGTCATCATGTATATCATTCGATGCGTCTTGACGAGCTGAACACAATGAGATCATCCGCGCGGCTGTATCTTGTTCCTGTAAGGAGTTATTGGCAAAAAGCCTTTGGTGACCTTTGATGACGTCACATGACCTTACAGCTGCCCAACAGCAAAACAGACCTCAAGGTAGTGAAGGTTGATCGTATGTGAAGTCATGTATGGTATATGGGGCCATTCCGACCCGTTTTAGTGGTAAAAACAGGGAGTTGATTTTTCCCCCATTGACTTATAATGGGGAGGTCGCGAAATTGACCTGACCTTAGGTCACCGACATCAAAATTCCGAGATAAACAAATTGTAGCTACTAATGACCTAATAACATCCTGCGACTTTCAAAGGCCTCCGACATCTACTGTAGCTCTGGCACGGTGACAAAGTTGCAAAAAAGTGACTTGAGGTTGGGTCATTCAAAGTGACCTGGTGACCTGACCTTAAAAGTTAGGAGGTTCAAACTTGCACACCATGTGTAAAATTGATGAGAGAATAGTCATACCAAATTTCGCGGCGCTACGCGCCACGGTTTTCCCGCTATCCGCGAAAAAACTCAGGGGGGGGCGGATATCCGCCCCCCCGTCGGTGCGCGGGTTAATGAAAAATAAATGCCAGAACCGTGTTCCTGAACCGTGGGGGGGGGGCGGATGACCGCCCCCCCCTGAGATCTCGAGAACGAAGCAAGATAGCGACAAGCAGTAAACGGCATCGGATACGCACGGACAAGGTCTACAATTTTTACCAAGGTCATTTTCAGGTCAGGTCAAAGATGACGTCACAGGGGTCGAAAAAGTCAAAATGGCAGCGCTAGATATGGAGAGAGTTTTTCTCGAATAACTTTCAAATTATTCAAGATATGAAAAAACTAAGGGCAGCATCGTGATCCTCTCGTCAATCCGCATCGAATTATATATATGTTGACCTCGAAAGGTCAAGGTCAAAGGTTTACCTAAGGTCACGTGACCTCGAGGTCATCATGTATATCAATCGCTGCGTCTTGACGAGCTGAACACAATGAGACCATCCGCGCGGCTGTATCTTGTTCCTGTACGGAGTTATTGGCAAAAAAAAAACCTTTGGAGAACTTTGGTGACGTCACATGACCTTACAGCTGCCCAACAGCAAAACAGACCTCAAGGTAGTGAAGGTTGATCGTATATGAAGTCATGTATGGTGTATGGGGCCATTCCGACACATTTTAGTGGTAAAACAGGGAGTTGATTTTCCCCTATTGACTTATAATGGGGAGGTCGAGAAATTGACCTGACCTTAGGTCATCGATATCAAAATTCCGAGATAAACGAATTGTAGCTACTAATCACTTAATAGCATCCTGCGGCTTTCAAAGGCCTCCAACATCTTCTGTAGCTCTGGCACGGTGACAAAGTTGCAAAAAAGTGAGATGAGGTTGGGCCATTCAAAGTGACCGGATGACCTGACCTTAAAAGTAAGGAGGTTCAAACTTGCACACCATGTGTAAAATTGATGAGAGAATAGTCGTCCCAAATTTCGCGGCGCTACGCGCCGCGGTTTTTCCGCTATTTGCGAAAAACCTCAGGGGTGGCGGATATCCGCCCCCCGTCGGTGCGCGTGTTAAAAACTTGCTTCCAAACCATTGGCGACATTATTTTGCACATCATAAACACCTCCATCACCCGTTCCGACATACCAACCTAACTCCTGGAAACACTATCGTCCAACCCATCTTCAAGTCTGGCAACCCATCTGACCCCAGCAATTTCAGACCGATCTCCCTAG